TCCTCTGATCACCTTTCCTCGTCTTCCCACATCATGTTAACTTCCAGAAAAATATTTCGTTTGACGTTTTATGTAATGATTTTAGGACGACCTGATTTCATTCCGTTACTGTTTGTTAATTCCTGTATTCTGCCTACACTTCTTTACTGTCCCTCTAGCTTAATCTTTCCTGGGTTACTTAATAAGGACTTCGTAGGGCACTGGAAGCCGTCGGTGGGACGAGTGGGGTGTTCCTAAACTAACCTGTTGGTACTAGTCTAGATAGATATTTGGATTCCTGAAATAAATTAGCAAACATAATCCTCTCAGACTCTGAACATCCTCCCAATACACAACTCTCAACTCGCATCTCATCAGGTAGAACCTGAAGCAACTATAGAAGAATGTACTCTCTGGCAACTGAGAACAGAAGCTCTACAACACCTTATTTAGCACACATTTTTTGAGATGAGAAAAGTGTAAGACAGGAAGTTACCAACTTACCGAGTAACCCTAAGTAAAAGGTCCTATTTTTTCACTGCTGTCCAGGCTGCTACTGGCAGCAGGTAGTGAGGTCGATGTTCATGCCAAGCAAGAAATATGGCTACACAGGAATCGTGAGAGTGTTTCTAGCTGATGCTAACCGGAAAGCTGGCTCATCGTCGTTCAAGCAGCGTAAATAACTAGTTTTCTGGAAACCTGGATACCTTTCCTAAAGTATGAGTGACTCATCAAGCAAAACTGTTGGGATGATTGGGATATTTGTAGGAAGAAGCTGGAGTTCACGTCCACCTGACTGCGTTTTTTTCAGGAGTCTTACCCGAATATACGCTATTCACTGACTAGCCATAACTATCAGCAAGGAACGGACCGAAGTTAGGGTTGGCGCTCAACCTTGATGGTGACCTTAGTAAAGGGTTTACAATTTAACATTTATAAGAACCTGTTCCAATCGCTTGTACAACGATCGAACAATTAAAAATTTTGAAAAAGTAATAATTTATGATATTTCAGGATTGTAACTTGTAACATAACCGATCGTGCCCATAAAAATGGCACGAATTTCTAGTAAACACCAGGTTATACGAACTATAAATTATTATTATTTCTTCGCGTAGATTGAGATGGATACAAACAGAACACCGAATGTGTCCACGTCCTTAGAGAAGGTGTTCACAAAAGCCTAAATATAAGCTTCACTTCTGTTAACTGTCTGCATCTCATAGTTGACGCTGTACCTACCAGCGAATATGGTGTTACAACAGACTTTGTTGATCTAGCGCCTAATGGTTTGTTAATACTAGTCCATGTTTGTGAAGATATCGCTGAACAAGAATACAAAAATTAGTCACCTGGTAGAAAAAGTAGAATGCCAACAGCAGAAGAGAAGCAAAGGTTTTCAAGTTTACCTCAAACTTTATTTTGTTAGTCCTTACAGTTGTCATGTAGCAGACCCACTGGTGTTATTTATTCAGTCGAATGAGATAAGTGCTGCTAACAGGTATCAAATGAGGCGGTATTTCGGGAGAGTGACAGTCCTCACACAGAGAATTAAAGCTGGATAAATTGGTGAAGGAGTGCATATTTACGACGGTCAGTGTCATCAAACGGATATTTGTTGAATAAGAGCATTCTCGTCAGAGGGAAAAACGCACGTAATCATTTAAAAACCTGCGTAGTAATTAGAAACCTATGTAATAAAACCTATGTAGGTCCTCAAAGAATAATCAGGCCCTCAGAAAACGTGTTCTTTGGGAGATTACTGTGAGTCAATGTACTTACTATTCATTTAAGGGAAAGCAAAAATTGGGACATTAAATCTTCTATTCTTCAAATACCACTTGTTATGGAATGGAATAATCACAGATAATTGAAGCTCTTTACAATAACATGGCACCAGAAAGGAATTTTGGCCACTGTAAAGGAAATATTTCTTATGTGTTATACGCACCTTAAATTATTGTTATTGTACATTATCAGTTTTGAGGTTTGTTTACAGCGGCAGTTTTGAAGTTGAACACTACCGTTCACTCTGCTAGGTATTTGTTTTTATATAGTTCTTGGGCGATATTTACTCCTTGTTTTATGGTCACTTTCATGTTTTGTTCGCGAAGTTTTCAAACATGCATATTAGATAGGTCGGAAAGGTGCGTAAAGTTACGTCATTTCAAAGATTACTTCAATGAAATATCTACCTGAATTAACAGTTTCGGGCATTTAATTAATTCCGGTGTAAATTTGGATCTTTTGGCACAATTTCCAATATGCTTTTGCGCCCCGTAAAATTAGTTCCAATAAAAAGTAGCGAAATGGCATAAAAACGTGTAGTATGGGTTATTACACTATCCCACATCGACAACACGTTCACTGCTTCACACATTATGATGTTCGAAGTATTTGCTGCGGGTGAATGCTGTAGTTTTAACCTTGGTTTTATAATTTTTTAGTTGCTTATAAATTCGTTTATGATTGCCCCGCCTGTACAATTCTTATCTTACTTTTGCCTGGCATCCCACTTGTCAAAGTTTCATTGAGGCCTAATTCTAAGGGAAATTCAAGTGGTCTTTAAACCTCCTGAGATTTTAACACTATGAAGGAATTCATTTCGTTGTGGTAGCCCAAATTTAAAATAATTGGGGGTACTTTTTGAACTACCTAATTCAAAGTGTCTAGAGGAAATTTCGGGGAAATGCAACATTTGGTGAGTGCCAGCTAGCACGAATCCTCGTTCAAGCACGGTTCCCTGTTGACTGCGTTCATCTCATATATATATTAAACCAATAAAGATATAAAAGTTGATTATCTTTGAAATGATAACCTGACGTTGATTTTTGTTGTTACAATTGAGTTGCCTATAACACATTCATATACCAGATAATCAACCACAAATCTTATGATGATACCTGCTCAGGTTCAAGTAGGTTGGACTGAACGCGAACCCAGGCCCTCACCGTTAGTATAATCGAGTGCTGATGAGCCAGGTATCTGTAGTTGTAATGTGGTAAAAGGCATATGTGGATAATTCAGACATTTTGCGTATTATTTGATTATTTAATAAAATTTTAAATGGATAGAAAATGAGTAGCAAATAACTAGTTAAGTGAGGGTGTTCAATTTTTCCTTTTTGATTGTTTTTATCGCTCCTTAATTCCTGAGTGAAATAATGGTTCTCAAGCTTTGGAGTCTCAGTAGCGGTGTTGTTGATGCTACCCTCTCAACACCCAATCTTTCCTGTTTTCCGAGTAGACTATTGGTTACTCAAATGAAACCAAGTTTAGGAGTGCGTCGAACCCCGGATTACGTGAGTACTTGGCGAGAGTCCTGCCGTTAAACCACCGACGCAATTGTTTCTAATTTACTTGTTTCAACATAGAACTCTGCATCAGTTCGAGTTACCACACCATTTGTCACAAAGCAAAAGATGAGATTAAAGAGCGGTTCAACAGAGAGATAATAAATAGAAGTGTGTGTGATGGAAAAAGAACAGTAATTTGGGTGAACAGTAGATGTGTAAAACTTGAGCACTGGTAGTATGTAATTTCATATTCATTTGTCTATTAGATATATCACACAGTGAAACAGTATTATTATTCACTGGATGACTTCTCCAACACGGTTTATATTGTGGTAATTAATACCACCTTACATGAGTGAGAGAACATACACCTATGATTAAAGACCGTTTTCCTGTGTTTCATATCTTCCACTTTCAATGACCATGTCTCACTGACAGGCTTAAAGGATGGGACAGAGGAAACTGTTGAGTAGTACACACGTCCTTTGATTAATAGCCAGGCGGATATAAAGTTTGTTCTTTTATTTCATTTGTTGTGTTGAAGTTGTTGATAAGTGTATCTTGGTAGTTGTGTGAGTGCTGGCGGAGGGGTGATGGATGAGATTTCCAACCGTTTAATGAAGGCTAGGGTGTCATACATTAACTTGAGCCACCTATGGTGCCGTCGCGACGTTAGCCTGGCTGTCAAAGGTCGTGTATACAATGCTTCGGTGCGGCTGCTGTCTTGCTCTGCGCCTGTGAAACCTGGCCTCTTCGAGCTGAGGATGTGCGGTGAATCTGCGTGTTCGATCATCGCTGTCTCCACAGGATTGCTTGCGTTCGGTGGATGGCATCATCGCGTGAGTAATTCTGAGGTTGGTCGGCGGCGTGTGTTTGAACACAGTGAAGATCACCATTCATTGAGTGTGGTCATCTGGAAACACCGGCTCCGGTGGCTTGGACATGTGCTCCGAATGTCATCTCAGAGGCTTGCGTACAGGTCTCTGTTCGCTAGCCAGCCCTGGGACGGGATAGAAAAGGCGGAGAGGTGGTCAGTCCATGACGTGGCGTCGTGGGATGAAGGATGTGTGTGTGCTAGATTAGCGTTGGTTGGTGTGTCACGACTCCATGGTTAGGGTCCGCGAGATAGCTCGAATCGATGGCTCGAAACGTTATCGGATATGGCGAAGTATCGTAATCAATGGGGAACGTGTTGCAATTTCCTTCTTTCTTCTCTTCCCGATGATAGTTAACGAATACTGTTTGAACTTGTTAAGCATGACTGTTTTCCTTCCAGATGAAGTTCTTTATCCGTTCTCTACTTATATTTTTTTACTTTTGATCTATGTTGTTTTATTATTATTATTATGTGGCGCATCTTTCTTGGTGCCATTTTGTACCAAGTTTTTTCTTTCTGCGTTTAAATAATAAAAATAATAATAATCAGCCAGATATAACTAGGAACAGGTAATAATGGGGATAGAACTGTAGGAGACGGTCACTGTCGTTGGTTCGTCAGTAGGGAACTCCATAGCTGTCATCAATATACTTTTTAGTCTGGTATAACTTTCATACTATGTGTAGCTTTTATGGAATATTTAGTGCGACGAGTAGTTCTACTTATATAGCTCTCTTTACTCCTCAACTTTTCTTTAACAAAAAGTTAATACTGTAAAAGTTTGTATAAATTTTATATTCTTTGTTTCATTTCTAGATAGATAGATACCTTTCAACGAGAGTATATGGAATGTTACATGAATTATTACTTGCATTATACGGTATATCTGGCGGCATTTTTATTGAATCAACAGAGAAAGGTGATAATGATGACACAGAGTTGGCTGAACATTTAATACCCGTGGTGAATGATAATAATCTCATTCCTGAAAGTGAACTTAGTCTTCAAAGAGAACTATTAAAACTAGGCTCATGTTATAATTATTTAATAAAATTTATTGAAAAATATTCAGAGCCTAATTATGGCTTGTATTTATCAGCTTTCGCCTTTGGAATTGATGATTCACTTAAAGAATACCGAACAGATTTATGTACCCTGGAGGCTGAACTGTCAGCGGATAAATCTATGGGTGTTTCACATTTATCTTGTCGCCTGCATACTTACAAGATTTTGTTGCCTGTACTTGTAAAAGTTACAAAAAAAGTTGAAAGTGTTATTGTTATTCATCCTGAAATGAAGCACACTAATTCAAGTTGTCGACTTCTAGATGCTATATTATCTGCAACACCTCCTGGTCTACCTGGTCCAAGAAATGTTCTTCGTAAGGTGGTGTCTCGTGTTATGCAAGTATTTTATCGACAAGTATCTTCATGGCTTATATACGGTGTGTTGTATGATCCTTATTCAGAGTTTTTCATCAAAACAATTGAGGCTAATCCTACTACTACTACGCCAGATCAGAAGAAAGCAGTGATCTTTGTGATAGATGCTCACCGCATTCCTTCATTTTTGCCAACATCATTTGCTCAAAGAGTATTTGAAACTGGTCAAGCTGTTTATTCTGCTAGTCATAGTCCATCTGAGGCAGCATTCATCTTGGAGTTAGAAAAAGTGTATATTCCACGGTTTACAGAAATATCAACCTATGTAAGCAAAGATGTCAATGGAATCCAGTCAACTGAAAACAGTTTGAGTAACTTGATAAGTGTCAATGAAATTGATAGTCTTGTATGTGATATCAAAAGTGTTGTTTTACATCATGTCTGGTGTAGTGTAATCCAGCAGCATAAATTTCTTGATTATCTTCGTCTGTTTAAAGATGTCCTACTTTTAGGACGTGGTGAACTATTCCTCGCATTTCTTGATCAATTGAATTTTAAGAGTATTAGTTTTAACAATAATAATAATAATAGCAGTTGTAGCAGTAGTCCACGAAGTTCACTTCATTGGGAGTTTGGAGATAATCTACTAGATCAGACACCGCCCGTAGATGAAAATGAAGTTGAAGCTCTTGAATATGATATTACTCAGGCGTTTTTTGCAGCAGCAGCCCGTTGTCTAGGCTTAGACGATGAAGAATTAGACGCTCAATTTAGGTAGGTGTGTTGTGTGAGTTTAAAAAAAATGATAATTCACTAGTATTAATTGATTGCTTATCATGACCCTTATTTTTGTTGTTTTGATGCATCCTATTTATTTTCTTAACATTCATGTTACTAACTCACCTTTAGAGAATGATTTCGATTGTACAATGTATTATCCTGGCATTGTGTAGGAATCTTTCTTGCACACTATGCTGCGGGGGTGGTGGTGTCTGAGGGCGAAGTCGTACTGCGCTGGGGAACAGGGATGTAACAGCTGTAAAGTGTTTCCCTCAGATGACCGACTGTCTGTTCTCGACATAGAACTTTGCACCGTTGTGCGGAAGTTCAAGTCGACACACTCCCTCCATGTAGCACACAAATCAAGAGAATAAAGTGGAAGAAATGCATAATGAAGACAGTAAACAGAGGTGCGGGACAAAGAAATAGAAGTAACGAAGAACAACGTAGTTTCATTGGAAATCATAGGTCACAAGAATTGGATGCATCTGCGCCAGCCAGTCATTAAAAACGATTTTGAACCATATCACCAATTGTCTCCAGCCTTCATTGGTTTTTACCGTCCCGAGGACCCCAGCCAGCGAGTCAGGAATTCTGCACCTTCCTAGGTGACTTACTGGCTGGTCAGCTTAAACTAACTGTTGTGGATTGGATTGACTGATGAGGCCATGTTTTGGTTTGACCGCCATATGCTAGCTCTTTTCCAGCCTGACCATATGTCAGCTAACGTTTCCTGTTGTCGAGGAAGGCGATGACTAGGCATACGTGGTATGCGTAAAATGGTGTGGTATGACTACTCCCATGATATGTAGTATAATGCAGTGGGTATTATTGAGGTTAAGCGTAGAGCGTTAGTTAGAGTGGGTAAATCAATAGTTGAGGTTGTGATTTTATGGATGCCACCAAATCACCGCCTCGATTGATGAGCATTGTTAGCTGACATTAGATTAGGTTGGCAAAGTGTTGGAGAGGTGGGGGTGTGGTTAAGCCAGAATCTGACCTTAGTCTTATGTGAATTCTTTGGAAGTTAATGTATGTGACAGCCATGTAGAAGGGTGTAGATTGCTTGGTGGTTTTTGGAGTCTTCGGGATATTAAGAACCAAATAGTTTTCAATGGTGCAGTTGCATTCACACTCTTAGTAATCCTTCTTACCTGTTTAACAGTCATGATTTTTTCAATGTTACTGTTCTTTATTTGGTTGACTGATCCAGTCAACCGTGAAAGTTCAAATTGAATTAATTAATTAATTAATAACTGATACTTGTTTCACAAAAGGAGAATATCATGGCTCAAATAATCTAGTGGAAAAACGCTTTAGCATTTAAAACTATGGGTACTAGGTCTGAATCGCAGTGGGAACTCAATCAATCACCCAGGTACATCCATCTGATGAGTCTTAAACAGAATGACATGCGAATCCTCGACCGGAATGCTAGTCATCACATCCATTAAATTACTTTAAGTTACTGTTGTCTCTCACGTACATTTCTACCTAGTCATCGCCTTCCTCAACAACAGGCGATATTAGCTGACATAGGGTCAGGCTGGAAAAGAGCTAGCACATGATGTTCAAACCAAAACATGGCTTCATCACTCAATGAAATCCACAACAGTTAGTTTAAGCCAGTCAGTCACCTAGGAAGGTGTAGACTTCCTGAATGACTGGTTGGGATCCTCAGGACGGTAAAAACCAATGGAGGCTGGGAACAATTTGTGGTATAGCTCAAAATCGTTCTTAATGACTGGCTGGCGCAGATGCATCCACTCCTTGTGACTTATGATTTCCAATGAAACTATATTGTTCTTCGTTATTACTATTCCTTTTGTCTCACACTTCTGTTTACTGTCTCTATTATGCATTTCTTCTACTTTATTCTCTTGATTTGTGTGCTACATGGAGGGAGTGTGTCGACTCTAACTTCCGCACATCGGTGCGAAGTTCTGTGTCGAAAATAGACAGACAGACAGTTGTATGCATATATTGATTGTTTTGTTTGGACCTGAACTCTCTGGGTAAGTATGATCAGATTGTTTCTGTACATAAATTTGATCATGTCTTTAGGTTATAATAAGCAGCTGATGAGAAGCTAAGGAAGTAAATGAGTTTCGTAAGGGGGAGTAAATTTATGAAGTTCCATTAACATTAGTCTATTAGAAAGCCTTTATTTAAGACGTATATCTGTATTGAATTGGTTGTGTTCTCTGAGCTGGTTGATTTAACTGCGAAGCTTTCGTCTTTTCCCACCTTCAAGACAACATCCCTCTTCAGAGCAGGTTTTGGAATAAAATGAACTCATTTAAATCTGTCATGGATGATATAATTTTATCTGTCTCCTGACGACCACTGCAGTGGCTGATTGTGTGAAGTTACGTCTCTGTTGATAATTTTTTTTGACTTTCTTGTTATGTGATTTAATCTGTATTAGCTGGTGGTAAATTTGGTGTTTGTTAATCGCTGACTGATCGATTCACTTGAGTACCAACTAGGTTCCTAAGAATTCCCTGGCATTACTTTTGGTGTTTCCTCTGTCTAAGATTTCGACATTATCCCAATCAAACTGATGTCTATTATTGTCTATATGCATTGATATGAAATAATATATATCGTGTCTTTCACAGCTGATTTGTGTTCCTGGATTCTGATTCGAAGGGGACGCCCACTTTGGCCGATATAATACCTGTTACAGTTCATAGATACAATTTATTTTGTAAGTGGTATTAGTTTTATCTCCCTTTTCTGTTGGGTCTTCCGGTTCGCACAGTATCCATGAATGAAGTGATTTGACTGGCTTTTGTGGTATATCTACACATCAAAAGGTTTTAATATTCTTGCTGTTATTTCAGAGATATTTTTCATGTATGGTAGGATGAATTTTCTTGTGTTCTTTGATGATGGTTCCTTGTTGGTGTTATTAAGATTCGATTTTAACCACTTTTTGATGAAATTGTGAAGATATCTATTCTTGTTTAAAACGGTTGGTTAGTGGGTATTTTTCCTCGGTTCTCTTCAACACCGGAGTAGTGTGCTACAGTGTGTGTTTGAACTCTTTTAAACAATGTTTGCATATAGTTTGTTTACTGGGTAATTGGATTGGGTTATTACTACTGTTATATTATTATTATTGTTGTTCCCTTGGGTTCCTAGTGGAACACAGGGCTTCAACTCCACGTCTCTACTTGCTTCTTTCTTCTGCTGTACTTTTCACCTGGATCCATGTTACTCCATACTGTTTCAACCAACTCCTATTCACACGATCTCCTCCATGTCACCCCTGCACTGATGTCCCTCTCGCTGCTTCCCTTTCGGCATGGTTCCACTCGACCAATGGTCTGACGCGCGCGCGATGTTACCCAGCGGCGGCCTCCTCAGCGAGTGTCCAATCCATCTCCACTTTCTCCTGCATATTTGTTGGTTGGCGATTGGTTTGTTCTTGTTTTGTTTGTTTGTTCCCATAGTTTCTTGTTGTTGGTGATTGTTTCCGGCCCGGCCCTCTGATCTTCAGTATAGATCCGGCGAAGACAGTTGCTGGTTGATAAAGGTCTGCAATCTGTTGAGTGTTTGTCCTCTGTGTGTGTGTGTGTGTTTGTTGATTAGAGAGAAACGTGAATTTACAACCAGTCATTCCAGTGGTCTCCAGGAGATAGATAGATAAAATTACATTATTCATGGAGAATTTTAAATGAGTTCACTGCATAATAAAGCCTACACTGAAGAGGGATGTCTAGAAGCGGGGGGTGGGTGGGTGGGGGTGGACGACATAAGCTACACTACCATTTAATCAACCATCAGCTCAAAGAAAATAACATAACTAATTGAATACCATCCCCACCTTTAAGCGCTACAAATGGTATTTTTTAAATTTTCTTTTAAATTTATCTAGAATTTTTATAAAATTGAAAACCACATCTCAACAAGATCCCGCACCAACAACAGCAAAACCTGCAGCAACTGACAGTCTAACAATTTTAGACTGTCTGTATTTACAGATAAATATTCCATCAGCTCTCGATTTTCTATTCTCCGCACAAATATGTCATGCTTACAATCGGCTATTTCATTTTCTCTTCTCTATTCGTCGAACACAATTAAAGCTACAACAGTATTGGGCTGATCAAATTCTTCTCTGGCGTCGTGCTAGATCTGATCATCATCAGTTGAATTCAGTGTATAACAAGGCGGCGAAAAAGGCGGGCAAGAATCAGCATGATGATGGTGATGGTAACATAACAACAATGTCAAATAATAATTTTTTGCATTTACAATTGAGAATAGGTCGGCGTTTATTAGTTCGTAATCATATGGCATTTATTATTGAAAATTTATTATACTACTTACAAGTGAGTAAATGTTTTGTTTTGTTCTTGTTTTTTTCTACTCCGTGATTTTTTTCAAATGCTGTTTATTGTCAATTGGATATTCCGTATAAGTTTGTTTATTAGATGAATATCATACACACTGTTTCTTTACTAACAGTATTATTTACTGGATGACAATGTTTCGAACAAAATTTATTACTGTTCATAAACTCCTAGCTGGCCACTGAGAGTGGAAGACATGAAAAGACTAACTGTCTTTGATCATAGGTGCCTGCGCTCTATTTCCCGTGTAAAGTGGCATAATAAGGTGAGCAACAGTGAAGTTAGGCGTCGAGTTCTAGGTAAACAGGGGAAATCAATCGACGAAGTCGTGAAGTTACAAAGACTGAGATGGTTAGGACATGTGTTACGTATGCCAAGCCATCGCCTCCGTCGACAATGGGCAATGTTAGCGGATATAGGGTCAGGCTGGAAAAAAGCTAGCGGCGGTCAAACAAAAACTTGGCCCCATCAGTCAATGAAATCCACAACAGTTGGTCTAAGCCATGTAGGAAGGTGTAGACTTCCTGACTGGTTGGTTGGGGTCCTCGGGACGGTAAAAATCTATGGTTGGAAACAATTGGTGACATGGCTCAAAATCGTTCTCAGTGGCGCAGATGCATCCACTCCTTGTGACTTATGATCTCCAATGAAACTGTTTTGTTTTTCTTTATTACTCCTTTGTCTCACGCCTCTGCTCACTGTTTCTATTATGCTTTTCTTGTACTTTCTTCTCTTGCTTTGTGTGCTACACGGAGTGTGGCGACTTGAACTGGCGCACATTTGTGCAAAGTTCTATGTCGAAAACAGACAGACAGACAGACAATCACATCAATTATAATCACACAACTTTGGAACTTGAGTTTTATAGTTCTCTTTGTTCTCTCCCATTTGTCGTCGTCGGGGTAGTAGATTTTTCTAGATATCTGCCTGGACAGGTATTGAATCATTCCTATTACACATATTCCCTCTCAGTTGATTCGACAAACAAAGCCTCCGTTATCAATCTCACCCTCCATTCACCCTGTGACATTAGATTTTGAAACTGTCATCCTATCCCATCATCCTCTTGCATGGTTGTGTGGAATTGTATGTAGTGTAGTGTTACAGCTGAACTATTCTCTAGATTTCTTGTTATCTTATTCGGGCCAATCATTGCTGGCAGGGTAATAGATAAACTAAATTGTTTTGTTTTAAAGGCTCCACAGGATTGATCCTTTAACCGACAAGGCTTGTTTCTAATTGAGTTTGTGGTTGGTTTGAATTCCAGCCACTTTTATTCTTGTTTGTGTTGTTAAGAATTCTGCGTGAGGTGGTTTCCGAGGTTCCTTCCTTCCTTCCTTGTATGGGATTACTACTGATGATTGGGATTTTTTATTGTCGGTGTCGTCATTAATATTACTATTATTCTTATCACTATCAATTGGATATACCTGTAAATGATTAACACTAGGGGTATGGAGTGATAATAGTTACTTGTTCTACTTTACGACAATGTGGTTTGATGTGCAGTTATACTACCTAGATATGATAGTTCTTAGTGAACTTGGTGTTAGTTGGAACCATTCATTCTTCCTTTAAAGACAGGAGAGTTCAAGTGATCATAGAGAAGACGGAGGTGTTGAAAATAACTAACCATCACCATGATGAACGGGAGAGATTTGACAAAGTGATGTTTGTTGATGACACGTCGTAAGCATCTAAATCACTGTAGCTTCACAACCTCGTCGACTGATCTTCCCTCCCACCTACACCTACCTAGCACTAAACCGACGCTTAACCTCAATATTGCTCACCCTATTATACTACTTAACACACACACACACACAGGAGATAGAATACAGACACCGTTGATGAAAGACAATTAGTTAGGCAAGCTTTTCATGTCCTCCACTTTCAATGGCTGCCATGTCTCACCCACCACCATAAAGGGGAACAAAGCGAACTGTTGAGCAGTATACACATCCTTTGTTCGACAGCCGGATATCACGTCTACTAGGCCAGAGATTGCATAAGTTGGTATATACCAAACTAGCCTTGGGTGTCTGTGTGCTGAGATTTCGTCACTGATATCAACCAGCTGGGCCGGCTGCTACAACTTCCCGAATAATTTAAATGTTCAACACACTGTATAACTTCACTCCATATCTCTAATCTAAGAGTGATTCGATGTAGTCCAGTCCTGTAACATCATCTTACATTTGATGTGAGTGAATTGCATACCATATATTCATATGTTGTTGCTGAAGGTGTTGAGAAGACTGCATTTTGTCGGTGTCTTCATCACCTAGAAGAACTATATCATCCGCATATTCTAAGTCATCAAGATTATTCTCCGATAGTAACAAGTCAATCCGTGAGTCGCTGAAGTGATTTAGGCTTAAGTCCATCAGTACCATCTATGATGAAATTAAAGATAAATGGGTACAGTTGGCACCCCTAATGAACACCACTGGCCGTCATCACTTCAGATGATAACCATCCGTAGACTCTTACCTGGCTGGCCAGCTGAATGAGTTCGAGTAGAATGAGTGCCTTTATCAGTGCAATGTATTTTCTCGACATTCCCTTCACAGCTAAACATTGCCATAGTAACTCTCGGTCGACAGAATCGAATGCCGCCTTTAGGTCAGGAAATATGACGGTTGTTAAACGCCAGTAATTATGCCTATGTTGCAGAATCTGTTGAAGGGTGAATATGTGATCTATATACCCCCTTCCTGGTCTAAAGCCTGCGTAATTCTCTCGTCTCCCCCTCCCCGAAAACCGCTTATTCTACTCATTGTTATTGAGCCTAAAACTTCAGCACTACAAATTGCAGTGCAACAGACATATATAAACCTCCTTCAGAAGCTATATAATGATACCATATTCGTGATTGTGGTACACTGGATTATGTAACAGGCTGTGAGAACCGAGAATGCAATTAGTACTAGGCAAAATACATGTTTTAGAGAACTGTTTTATCATTTTTTTCATCAGGAAGTACTGGAACAGCCTTTTCGTCCTAGCTTGGAGTTCTTCAGTAGTGTGCACGTAAGATCCCGCCGAGAATGGAAACTGATTTTTTAACTAGTGATTGACAACAGGAAAAAGCTTCCTTAGAGTTCTAGGGGGAAGTTGTGACCAGCAGTGGGCGGCTCCACCAGGTCGGGGGTGTAAGGACAAGCACCGATGATGACGACTGGTAGTGGCACTGAAATTCGCTAATTAAAAAGTTAGACTTTATTGACCGTTCCTGCCTGAACGGCCAACAAGCTTGCCATGAAACTTGACAGTCCTGGGTTCGATCTCGTGTGTGTGTGGGGTGGTGGTGGTCGTGATCGTGTACTACTGAAGAGTCCTAAATATGGTAGAGAAGATTTGTAGCTCAGGTGGATGATTTTGATGTGGTTGTGTTCTCTGAGCTGGATGGTTAGTTTGCGAAACTTTCATCGCCCTACTAGGCGACATCTTCACCTCAGCGCATACTACTATAAATTGTTGAAGTGAGCTTTTAGATTTCTCCACGAGTTTATTAATCATCTCTCCTGATGACCACCTTAGACGTGATTGGTTGTTTCTGTGTGTTTTCACACCCTCTAGACAGCTACTTGTATTGGAACTGATAGTTTCTTTGACTTGAACTTCGACCTTTTGTGTGTGTGTGTGAGATTTCCTTCTTATCGGTTGATAAATTTTGTCTATCTCGATGTGTCTATTGATTGATGATTCACTGGAATGGCAAGCTTCTAAACATTCTCTAGCATTTGTGTTAGAGACAAGAGAATTTTTACAAGCTTGGCATTCCAGTGAATCATCAATCAATAGATACATCGAGATAGACAAAATTTATCAACCGACAAGAAAGAAACCTCACACACACACACACAAAGGGCCAAAGTTCAAGTCAAAGAAACTATCAGTTCCAATACAAGTAGCTGACTAGAAGGTGTGAAAACACACAAAAACAACCAATCATGTCCAAGGTCGAGTCACCAGGAGAAATGATTAATAAACTCGTGGAGAAATCTAAAAGCTCACTTCAACAATTTGAAGTAGTATGCGCTGAAGTGAAGATGTCGCCCAGCAGGGCAATGAAAGCTTCGCAAATTAACCATCCAGCTCAGAGAGAGAGCACAACCATATCAGAAGAGTCCTAAACCAGGACAAAACAATACCCTTGAATTCAATCAAATCTTTACAAAAGTTAATTTAATTTTAATTTAATTTTTGATTACAGCTTGATTCCACACTGTATTTTCGGTACAAGTATGGAATTTTCAGCATGGATATCGGTAGCCCAAATTTTGCAGGCCGACCATAGATATCAGGTGTGCGTCGGTGCGGGCTCGAACCCCGGACCATGTGCATGGTCGGCGAGAGTCATAACCACTGTGCCACCGACGCACTTGAAAATTGTTTTTTCTCAAATACTCAACTCAAAGATATCATTAATTTTTCTTTGTCCGTTCTTTATCATATTATTATTATTATTATTGCAGGTTGATGTTATTGAATCACAATTCTCACATTTACTCCATCGTTGTCAAACAGACCAAGATATCCAATTGATTCAAATCGCTCATGAGGCGTATTTAGCCAGTCTACAAGCACAAGCCCTCTTATTCATGCCAAATATAAAATTATGCATATTCAACTTACTAAAGACTTGTCGTCAATTTGTTCATATATCAAGTCAACTCGCCTATGACAGCAGCAGCAACAGCAATCATAATACTACTAATCATGATTCTCATGGAAGTACAGGCAGTCGTAGTGACACTGTCAGTGTTACCCTGGAGAATATTCAGCTATCTAACAAAGAAGAGCATATCATTCATAGATTTTATAATCAATCGAAATTATTATATGAGTTAATTAGTAGGTCGTGTTCAACCGGTGCTAAAAGTAGTGTTAGCATAAATTCTGCTTATACGCATCGTTTATCCCGTGGCAATACTACTAATAATCCTGTTCTGAATTCAGGAACAGCGGATTTAAATCAATTATTATTACGCTTAGATTTTAATAATTATTATAGTAATTTACCCGAAGATTTAATATAAATGAGAATATTGATTTTTGTTATTATTACTATTATTATTATCTTTTATAAATAATGCCCTTACCATGTATTCAATGATCTATCTTATCACCCGGTGGATTGATAATTTAAAATTTTTATCACGTGTGTGTTGTGTTTGTTTAAGCCATTTCTGTATTTCGCGTGAATTGACGCGGCTGTCGTGTGTCCCAAGTAGTCTGATGGACAACACTTTGACGTTTAAAACGAAGGGGGTGGGTGGGATGGTGGCTGGGGACACACACACACTTTCTGTGTGAGGACAACATCAGTCCAGTCACTCGGCTTATGACAAACAAGTCCCAAATAGGGCGAAATGCGCTCTCTGGTGGATTGCTACTGCAAGTGTCACTCACTATTCCACCAAATAAAATCATGTTTTGCAATTAAATAGTGTTCTCTGAGCAGGTGGTTGATTTAGTTGCGGAGCTTTCATCGTTCACCTTCCTAGACAACATCTTCAACTTCATCATAGATGTACTAATGGAATTAACCCTAACTCACTTCAGAGACTAAGGCATTGACTTCCTACCAGGGAATAATCTCGTTGACTTAGAATATGCAGACGATATAGTCCTTCTAGGTGAGGACGCTGACAAAATGCAGAGTCTTCTAAACACCTTGAGCTGCAATCTACGAATTTTTGGCTTGCGATTCACTCCCCCAAATGCAAGATGATGTTAGAGGACTGGACTACGCCGACTCCCAGATTAGAAATAAGGAGTGAAGTGGTAGAGCACGTTGTATGCTTCACTTATTTGGGAAGTACCATCAGCCAACGCCAACGGGTTGATCTCTGACGAAATCTCAGTACAGATACAGAAGGCTAGTTTCGCATTTGCCAGTTTACACCGTCTCTGGCTTAGTAGACGTGATATCCGACTATCGACCAAAGGGCGTGTGTACTGCTCATCAGTCCTGTCCGTCCTCCTTTATGGCTGTGAAACCTGGCTATTGAGAGCGGAAGACATGCAAAGGTTAGTTGTCTTCGATCATAGATGCCTGTGTTCTATCTCCCGTGTGAATTGGTATAATAAGGTGAGCAATATTGAGGTTAGGCTTCGGTCGAGTGCTAGGTAGGTGGGAGGGGAAATCAATCGACGAGGCTGTGAAGCTACATCGACTGAGATGGTTAGAACATGTATTATGTATCCTTAGTCATCGCCTTCCTCGACATGTAATGTTAGCTGACATGGGTCAGGCTGGAAAACAGCTAGCATATGGCGGTCAAACCAGAACATGGCACCAGTCAATGAAATCTACAACAGTTAGTCTAAGTCACGTAGGAAGGTGTAGACTTCCTGACTGGTTGGTTGGGGTCCTCGGGATGGTAAAAACCAATGGTTGGAAACAATTGGTGACATGGCTCAAAATCGTTCTCAATGGCTGGCTGACGCAGATGCATCCACACCATGTGACTTAAGTTTTCCAATGAAACTATATTGTTCTTCGTTATTGCTCTTCCTTTGTCTCACACCTCTGTTTACTGTCTCTATTATGCATTTCTTCTCTTGATTTGTGTGCTACAAGGAGGGAGTGTGGTGACTTTAACTTCCGCACATATGTGTAAAGTTCTGTGTCGAAAATAGACAGACAGAGACAACATCTTCAGTGCAATCTTTTGCATACAATCAAATGATTTAAATTTCTACATGAGTAATAGAACTGCGTATCCTTCCGGTAACCATCTCTGCATATGTATTGCTCATTTTATTATTCACTTGGATTTTAAACTTTCTGGTCACATGAGACTTACTTTTTATTAGTTGGTATATTTGGTCTATATTAACATGTTTGTTAATTGTAAAAAAAGTGATGAGTTGTCACAAACGACTGTTGAATAAGAGTTACGTGACGGTGTGAATAGTTTGATGAAAGAGTTGTACTCAGGCTGTACATGGAAACAAAATAATATACAAAATTACACAAGGGTTTTAAGTAGTTAGGAAAATAAGTACACAAACTAAAGTTGTTACCATGAGAGTAGAAGTGGTTGAATAATTTTCTTTTGTATGCACAACTCTGGTTCTTCCAACTGAATGACTAGGGCGCTTCTGCGATGCAAAGAAGACGGAATCGTACTGTCTTTGGAAGGTTGTCCTTCACTTTGTAGATTACTTTGAAGGAGGAGGCGTTTGTTGTTGAGATGGAGTGACCACCTGTGTTGACAAGATCTTCGATTATTGCACTCCATTATTGCAACGCCATTACTTCCTTTCTGCAGCCACGCTGGATAGTGTTCTTTGAGCCTTTTTGACAGGATTCGCGTTGAACGACCGATGTACCTGACTGGCTCCACAGCAACAGATGAACTGATATATACACACATAGAAGTGTTCAGGCGTGGGATCTTGTCCTTCGGGCTTCTGTAGATCAGTGAGCGACTGAAGAACACTACTCTCTCAATGTTTCCGCAAGGAAAGTTCTTCTTAAAGAGGCGGAAATTTTCCTTTTGAGGACGTTGCTGATTAGGTCTCCTTTGAAGTCGAGGTCCATATACAGTATCATTTTTGGTATGGATAGTGAGTGTCTCTTGCTTTTGGATTTTTTGTTTGATGTTTTTGTCTACGAATCTTGATGGGTAACCGTTTTGTATGAAGATTTCTTTCAGGAAGTTTAGTTCTTCTTTCATGGTATCAGAGCTGCAGATGCGTCTGACGCGAGTGGCAACAGATCTAATTAGGTTTCTTTTCCGACTGATTGGTACTCACCCAGCTGTAGAATCTTGTCACTTGGCCGTTCCATGTGGGTTTCCTATGGATGGACCTTCCTAAAGTTCCGTCAGCTCTTCTTGTAAGTTCAACATCAAGGAAAGGGATTTTAGATTCGTTTTCAATTTCTAGAGTGAACTTTGTGGCTGGATGGCACTTGTTGAATATTTGCAGTAATTGATTGAGATCTTGACCGTCATCATCACAGATAATAAAGATGTCGTCCACATATCTAACATACAATTGGAAATAGTCAATAGTTGATTCGAGTGGGCCGTTCTCGAGGCTAGCTATGAAGCAGTCTGCTAGTAATGGGCCCAGTGGAGATCATCCAATTGCGATCCCATCTTGTTGTCTGTAAATAACCTGGTTGAATGTGAATTGTACATTGAGTGTACATCTCAGTAGTAGTTCTTTTAAACAGGTCGTCGTTAATCCGATGTTCAGCTAGCTGATTTTCGTCGATATAATGACAAAGGTAAGAGACGGTTTCTGTGAGTGGAACGTTGGTACATAGTGACTCAGTGTCGAGAGAGAAAGAGCATATTTTTGTTCTTTACATTGATATCTTTATTGTAATCGACGGATTGGAAAGTGTCACGAAGCGAATAGTGGCATATTCGTTTTCGTACAGGTTCTATACTGTCAGCTAGCCATTTCGCTATTTAATGGTACGGGGAACGTGACATATCCAGAATTGGACGAAGTGGGAGGTTGGCTTTATGTATCTTTGGTAAGCCGTATAGTCTTGGTATTATTGATCCTGTAGGTCGGATCTGATCATAGACTTCATATGACTGATTAACTTTTTGGTTTGCATTCTTTTGAGGACATTGGTGAGTTACTTTTCAATCTGTTCTGTTTTGTTTCTTTCGTTGGGTGGTGGCGAAAATTTTGTTTTATCTGACCAGATGTTGTTCATTTTCTCAATATAGTCTGTTGTGTCCGTAAGGAGTATGCCAGCCTCTTTATTTGGACGGGGGTTATAAGTAGTTCTTTGTTTTGTTTCAGGTAATTTAATTCTTCTCTATGTTGCCGCCTTGTTAGGTGCTTGTGTATACTTTTGGTTTTGCACATATTAAGATACTGATAACAGCTATCGATCGATTATTGTTGATTTGAATCGCTGCATTTCTTGTTCAGAGGTTGGAGTTAAATCATTTGTTTGGGTGATATTAAGTTTTCGAATTGTACAGTGGGTATAGAGTCTGTTGGCTTTTTGTGAGTTGGGATATCTTAAATTCTGCCCGTTTTTCAGTGACTGTATTGACGTATTCCGTAAACCTCAGAGTTTCACTAGGTAGCAGATTGTGGAGGGCTGGAGACCTTTGTGAAAGTTTAGTTATAAACTTAGTTAGGTTATAGACTTTTGGTTCAGTTCCACGTAGATTTCATCACGAACCAACACCAGTTAGAGAACATTGAAAACTAGGGAGTAATGGAAGAGCTATTTCGTCCTAGTGTAGAACTCTCCATAAGTGCACACCAATCATAAAGGATCTTCACATTATGAGACCATACTCGGTAACCACTCAGCCGCCTGGGTTAGAATTAAATGACCCATGAATTCTGACTTCTATCAACTCATGATATAGTGGTAACCTCAATCAATGCCTTAGATGAGCATTTGTTTCACTTTAACATTGTGCACTCCACTAGTGACAACGCCATAACCAGAAGGTCGAGGGTTGCATCCTTGATGAGTTCAGCAGTATGCATTGCTGGAGAGTTCCAAACTAGAATGAAACAGCTGTCCGGTACTTCCAGGTTCGCAATGATCTATAGTTCACAAAAATCAGCATAAATGGGAGGACCCTGAAAGAAACAACCTCTTTTACCTACACGGGAAGCATCATTTCAACTACAGGCAGACGGGACTGACGAGGATATCAAAGCAAGGATCATCGGGAAAGCAAGACAAGCTTTCATTACTCTCAAGTCTGTATGGAGGTCAACAGCACTCAGCGTGAAAATGATAATAAGATCCGAATTTTCAACTCCAGTGTGAAGTCAGTGCTACTATACGGATGGATCAGAGACTTGGCGCGTCATAAAGAGCATCTCAAACAAACTACAGACCTTCATCAATCAACAGCTGTCTTCGCTCAATACTCAAGATCAGATGACTGGCCAGAAAAGATCAGCACTAGGGAACTCTGGGAGCAAGCCAACCAGGAACCGATTGTGAAATAAATAGGCAGGAAGAAATGGAAATGGATTGGCCATACGCTGAGGAAACCATCAAGTGAGTGACACCACTAGACAAGTTCTG